AATTATACATAATTATGTATAATTACATATAAATCTATGCGTTAATTATGTAAAATTATATATGAATTTATATATATAATTATACATAATTATGTATAATTACATATATAAGTAGAACATATGAACATGAATGGACAAATTTGATACATAATAATATATAATTATGTATAATTATATATAATTATATATAATTTAATATAATTTTATATAATTATATATGAAAAATTTTTCATTGAGAGGCATCTTGTTCTGCTCTTGTGCGTGAGAGACAAGCAGAGTAGAACAGGAGCAGACCATAGATATATCATTTGTAGATGGGAATGTACGCTGTAATCTAGGATTCAGATCTCACTAGTTCCAAACTCGTCGTCGTAAATACCTATCATCTTTCAGATTAGACCTCCAAATATTTCGGTGCTAACCGACAAGTTTTGATGTTAACCCCGAACGGTAAATAATTAAAATAAATAAATCTAAATAAATCCCAGAGTTTTATTTGCACAAGCAACTGTCATCTCTTATGCTGACCAAACGTAAGGTTGGATAATAATCAACCTAAATGAAAATCATTTGTACTAAAAAAATTTATGTTAGTCAAATTTAGTACATGAATCGTATAGGCTGAACGTAAATGTTAACCTAGATAGCACAGAGAACTCAAAAAGAATTAAAAAATAATTCAGTCGTATGTCACAATTCTAAGTTTATTTTTAGATGCAAAAGGAATTTTTCAAAGTTCAGTTTAATGAAAAGAATTCTTTTTGCATCTAAAAATAAATTCAGAATTGGTGACATACGACTGAATTCTTTTTGAATTTTCTGTGCTATCTGAGAAGATAATAACATGCTTGTTTTACATAACTGATGAAATAACGTAATGAGTAATTAAAAAAATTTTTTTTTAAATAATATATTGAAATAATACATATATCCTGACCTTCCATTCAGACTATCATTTTCGGTGTTACTATCCCATACAGCACAGAAGCTTGCAGCATTATTGCTACAACATATTGCATATAGCAGTGCAATATTGCAGAGACATTGTAGTGACATTAATTTGAAATATTACTTTAGCAATACTTAAAGAATATTGCGAATATATTTTACTTATTTATTAATTATTTCTGTTACCCAATGAGCAAACAATATTTAAAAAATATTTTTAAAAAATTTGAGAAAACATTTTTAAAACGTTAAAAATAATGAGTCAAATTTTCTTTTATCATTAAAATAACGTTTCTTAACGTTTGGAAGTTTTGTTTTTTAATATTTAATAAACATTTATTTCAACATTTAAAAAACGTTTTTTTAAATATTAACATTCAAAATTTAACATTCAAATATTTTCTAAATGTTAAAATAAACGTTCATTAAATATTAAAAATCAAAACATTTTTCCAAACGTCAAAAAACTTAAAAAAAAATGTCTTTTTAATGAAAAAAGGGAACTTATTTCATTATTTTTAACGTTTTAAAAATGTTTTTTCAAATAATTTTTAATTATAATATTTTTTAATCTCAACATCTCAGTAAACATATTTTACATGAATATTTTATGTATATATCTCTGACTTCTCTTTTATTATTATATATGAAATATTTCAAGTACAAATAGTTTATTTTGTGATTGTACTAAATAATATTATAAGAAAACTATAATTAGTACTTTAGCTGCATATGGGGAGAATAAAAAGCACTTAGTATCAGTTGACAAAATAGCACAGCAGTCTAGGTGGTAGAATAGGAATCTGGAGGTGTCTGAGGTCTCGAATTCGCGTCCAGTACTGAGTAAATTTTCAGGTGTGAAAATAGTGAGAAATTAAATAAAGAGCTAAATTTCATTCAAAATTAATATAAACTGACTAGTTGCAATCGTTTCTGCAAGATATATTTTTCCATAGGGCTTATACTTATTAGAGGTTTTTGTTTAATATTAACTTTCATTTCAGTGTTGACCGTTAATTGACGATCCAAATTTACACTAAACATTTGAAGGTTCTTTCGAGGGTATTTTTACAAAAATTGGTTGTTTTTTTCATAAGGATAAGGACGTCCTGAGGAGATCTTGTGCTGTATTATTTATTGCTTACTTATTGCATTCCTTTTTGAGACATTATTAAGTTTAACAATTGTTGAAATGTTACACGTTTCATTCTAAAAGTCATACAAAAATTGTTTTCCGTATATAAATTTATTCATACTTCCGAGTACAATCCAGGATGAGTATGTTGTTTTTTTTACAATAAAAGTCTTTTAAAATAAAAGTCTTTTTTTTTGCATTTTGTATTTTGAAAAATTGCCTGTATATTTCTGGGAAAAATAAATTTTAATCTTTATCATCATATATTTCATACATGTATGTAAGTAAACATCTTTTTAAACTCATGGTTACTTTCCAGCAAAAGACACAAGTCAACACTAGCATTATTCTGTCTTTATTCCATACTCTGTGTGTAATAAAGATAGGATGATTGTGACGATTTGTGCCTATTGGTGGAAAGCAGCTTTAGATTCGATTAGATTTAAACTGTTTTGAAGTCGCGCGTAAATAGAAAAGCACTAGTACATTTTAGCGTTAGCAGTGGTATATAGTAGTGGTATATGTATCACACAAAGCTCCGCTCCTACCAATATCAATCTTGGTACATGTACCAAAGAATTGCCAAAAATCGCCTTTTATAGATAAAAGAGGATTCAGAATTTGGGCCATAATCTAATTCAGTTAAAAAGAACAGATCAGATACCATAATTCACAGCGGGATAAGCTTACTGACTCATCCACCAATAAGCTTTAAACTTTAAATCAGTGCGCTGCAGCGTACCACTTTAATGTTGAAGAGCGACGGCAGGAACCGCTTGACCTCGACCGCCGCTTTAACGAACACGTCTGCATCTCCGCTGTCGCCGTAACCACCATAGTAACTCATCGTGCCTATTTTGTCGCTTGACTACGCCCAAGTCAACGCGATCAAGTTTCGAGATGTCACGTAGCGGAACTGCTTGATAGATGCACCACAAACTGGACACCGAGATGTTAATTACGAATGTCTGACGACGCACCGTTCAACAAATCATGTCAATCCGCACAAATCGCGGCACGCGAGAGAACCAACACGATACTATCGTTCGTGCGAATATAAAACCGTTAGCTTGACAAATCCACGGAGCAGGCCACAGTCGTTGCGGCTTACCCTCACTCATGGTATTTCTTCGTCGTATTTCGTCACACGTCGCGACACGACGCGGCTAATGCGCATCAGCGAGGTGCACGTGACTCTCTGCAAGCGTTCATAATGGTGCGCCCTCATGAACGGCATTGACTTATAGCGAATTCGGTAGGTTGCACTAGTGCGCACTGAGTGCGCATTAAGGCTTGTTTACAATACATTATATTTAAGATCGTGTCTTAAGTACATATTTAAAAACATTTTAACTAATAAAATGATTTGTACGGATGTTATATATATCATATGATTAAAAATATTTGAGAATTTATTTAAGAATTATTTAAGACAATCTTTAAATATAATAACATACTATGAACAAGCCTTAGTCTGCACTCACTGCACACTAGTGCAAGCAACCGAATTCGCTATTAATTTACATCGTGCACTTGATACGCATACTAAATAGTGGGTGCTTTCCAATTGCTTAACACATCTTGACACTCGTACACAAAACTAGTTTATTGGATACATATTATATAAAATATCTTGTAAGATAATATGCAACCAATAAACTGGTTTTGTGTAACGGAGTGTACGCAACTGGAAAGCGCCCAATTTCTATTAGATTATAATCTAATTAGATTATAATCTATTAGATTATAATCTTAATATCGACGATATATATATAAGCAATGATATATTAAATTTTAAGGTATAATCAACAAAACATATTGTATTGATTGTATCATCAGATACAATGTTCAGAACTATGTTCAGAAAACATAGTTGATCAATGGCTTAGTTTACCTCGTGCACTTCCCTTATAGAAATATACTAAGAATCATTGATAATTACTTATTTTCAGTATTAAAAATACTGAATGATAAGTAATTATCAATGATTCTTAGTATGATATTTCTATAAGAGTTGATACGCGTACTAAATAGTAACTTTCTATTATATAATCTTAATATCGACGATATATATAAACAACGGTATATTAAGCTGGTATAACACTCATCAAGAAAACGTATTGTATTGATTGAACGCGTCGCCGTTGATATGCATTGTCAATATTAAGATTATCTAATAGAAAGTTACTATTTAGTACGCATATCAAGTGCACGATGTAAACCAGACCAGTGAGCGGTCAGTGATTATTGGTTCTTAAGCCGACTTGGCGCCTCACTGTAATTATTGGTCTATTGAGAGTCGGCAGTCGTTGTCGGCCTGTGCAGTCGGTAGTCTGATACGGGCTTTACTGTTAGATCTCTAACTTTAGACCAATTACGTTGACTAATTACTCAACCGTTGTGTAACCGTTGTGTCTTCTGAACGCACCCATTGTTATGGCTCCTGCACACAGGAAGCTGTAATGCTTGCCGCGCGGTGGAAGTTCGCGCGACAGCCAATCAATATGCTGCCTTCCGTAATAACCTTCTAGCTCTTATGGAAAAACTACATATTGATTGGCTGTCGCGCGGACTCCCGCCGCGCGGCAAGCATTACCGCGTCCTGTGCAGAAGCCATTAGGCTAATATTACATTTATCGTACGACAAGATTTTCGAATACGTTCATTGGTTGGCGAATAAAGTATTTCTAGGTTCTCTGTTCGTCGTCGATCGAATCAATGGCTGCATTCAGTAGACTCAACAGTTGAGACATCTGTTTCCGATGGATCGAATTCCGCTATGAATTTTCTACTGGATTCGTTTGTGATATCGCTACTAGTAAAGATGGCTACTTCTAATGTATTACTTTAAAATAAAAGCGGATAAGATTAAGTTAAGAGTAGTTTGAGAGTAAAATTAAATTTGAAATACTTACGAATAATTTATAAAACAACATTGCATTATAAAGTTATGTTATGTTATTACAGGAAATCTATACGTTCATACAGGACCTAAGCAGAATAGCTATCTTGTGAACTTACGACAATGTGTAATACAGTTTAATTATTGTTAATTTAATATTTTTACATGTATAAGTATGTATAAGTATTTCTTACACTTATAAATATTTCTTGTAAATGTTAACAAAATAATATATGTGATTAAGGTTTAAGGATCGATTGTTCCAACTTCTTGGTAAGTTAATTGATAGTTAAATTATATCTCTGTCTTTGTTTTTCCTTCAAATTAAGTAAAGATAAACATATGATACATATGATTACATATGATTTAATACTTAAAAACAAATATGCCTTACATTTTTATTTTAAGGCATAATTGTTTTTAACCATTAAGTCAGCCATTAGTTTAAGCCTTTACAGATATTATACTAGTAATAACAAAACAATAAATCAAAATATTTTTTATGCCAGTAATGTCAGTAATACATGCAAGTATATTACAAAAAGAGAGGTTAGATTATTAATAATAATAAATATATTACATTAAATTATTTCGAATAATAAAATTTATTATTATTCTTAGATACCTGATTGAAGACGAGTATGAAAATCAGCATTTTATATTATTTTATATAACTCTCCTTTATATTCATATATTTTTTCTATGACATCACTTTTCTCACTAGACGTCGCCAT